GCTCCCAAGATGGCGCCTGCAGAGCAAAATGAGGACAAGGCCTAAGAAGCATCTAGGGAGCATGAGAGAACTCCAGAGACTCCCCCAGCAAGGTACCTGCAGCGACTCAGATTTAGAAGAAGACTCTGCATTAGCGACCAAAAGGGGCATCAGAAACCTCCTGCTGGAGATGAGACAGGTGTGGAAAGCAGACCTGCTAAAAACGCAGACTGAGCTGGGGACCCTGAGCCAGTGACTTACAGAAGTGGAGTCCAGAGACAGAGCCCGGGAACAATGGCTGCAGACCGTGCAAGAAGAGATACAGGACCTCACGCAACAGGTCCAGAAACTTAAGGGTCGACAGTGGTGCTGGAATCGCGGCACAGATGGAAGAACATCTGCCTCAGAGGGGTGCCGGAACGAGTCTCGGGAGATGCCCTACTTCCCTTACTCCAGTGACTACTGACCCACATGGGAGCCAAGAGAGGTGCAGACCCCGAGATCATAACATCGGCATTCAGGATCCGCAAGGCGGTGTCAGCACCAGCAGAAGCCCTGAGACACGTTATTGCTGTAACAAAAGACATTGCCACCAGGTCCACTATCGAGAGAGCTTGGCAATATCCACTTTGAGTGAAGTACCGTGGCAATATACGGGCACATACTGTTCACAGTGCTGAGAGCAAAGCGGCAATTGGCACCAGTCGTCAGACGGTTGGAAGAGGCATAAATAAAGTATAGGTGGGGGGAAGACGGATCACTTGTGCTCCAGCAGGGTAGCGAGACTCTCACTTTTCCCTAAACTGGGGATCAGGCGGGCTTTCTCCAATGCCTACATGTGCCAGATACAGATCCAAAACAGGCACATAAGGCCAAGACCGGTACAAAGGGCTGACTCAGACTACTCCTTGAGCATGTAGTGTAGTAAAGCAGGCTACCCCAAGCCCATTCCTATCCATAACATCGCAGGATATCTCGGCACTCATTTAGTGACACATAGCCCACCCTAGCTGAGATGTAGGAAGCAATCAACTGCCAAAATGCCAAAAGTTGTGTTTTACCCTTTTCCTTCTATTGTGTTTGAAAACTGATTATGTTCCTCAGCTTCAGCTCCTACCTTGCTTACCATATAATCCGACTCCAAATTTATCAGAAACTTCATTATGGAATGCTCATAAGACTGTTTTACATGGCCACTTTATTCAAAGAGCGTCCTAGTTGAAGAAAATTAGATCCGAAAATATGAAAGAGTATAAATTTTGCACATTTTGCTCCCTCGTTGCCATGAATTCTGATATTAAACATAAAATTGATGTACTACAGTTGGAACACACACCTGTGATGTTGAAATGGTTAAAACAGTTTTGTTTTATTCAAAAGTGTCACATCCTCTTCCTGTTGCAGATCCTTTCTGGCCTTGGCTTCTGTTATCCAGTACTCTTTTTTACAATTTTTGTTTAGCTTTTCTTGGTTTTTCTGGTTATCTACTCTATGTATGGTTTTCTTTATGCTGGGTTCTCTGGGTTCATTCCTTAATTCTGTTCCTGGAATTCCCAGTCTCCTGGATTCCTTTAAATGTTTGTTTTTTTGTTGCCACACCCGTTCCTTTGCCATTTATCCTTTTTGTTTCAGTGTTTCCTGCTTGCAGTGATTTCATTCCTCTGCTCCTTTTCTTGCAGGTAAGTACTGTGTGTGTTTTATTGTTGTACTCTTAGTCATGCATATCTAGGCAGTTAGAACCCATCATAATTAGAGTACTTTGGCGCAGTAGTGGGCTGCATACATCTTGGTCATTTATGTATGTCTAAATCTCCAATGTTTATTACATATATAGCACTTAGTTTCCTTAGTTTCTCCTCTTGTTTTGCTTTGTATCTTTTGTCTTGTTTTATATTGTCTTGTATTCTCAGTTCATGTATAGTCCTGTCCTGCCCTGTCCATGTCCTGTTCTTGTTTCCCTCATGTCTTGTGTACATGTTCTGGGTTCTGCTTTCTGTCTTGCTCCGGTTCTGGGTTCTACTACAGGGAGTGCAGAATTATTAGGCAAATGAGTATTTTGACCACATCATCCTCTTTATGCATGTTGTCTTACTCCAAGCTGTATAGGCTCGAAAGCCTACTACCAATTAAGCATATTAGGTGATGTGCATCTCTGTAATAAGAAGGGGTGTGGTCTAATGACATCAACACCCTATATCAGGTGTGCATAATTATTAGGCAACTTCCTTTCCTTTGGCAAAATGGGTCAAAAGAAGGACTTGACAGGCTCAGAAAAGTCAAAAATAGTGAGATATCTTGCAGAGGGATGCAGCACTCTTAAAATTGCAAAGCTTCTGAAGCGTGATCATCGAACAATCAAGCGTTTCATTCAAAATAGTCAACAGGGTCGCAAGAAGCGTGTGGAAAAACCAAGGCGCAAAATAACTGCCCATGAACTGAGAAAAGTCAAGCGTGCAGCTGCCACGATGCCACTTGCCACCAGTTTGGCCATATTTCAGAGCTGCAACATCACTGGAGTGCCCAAAAGCACAAGGTGTGCAATACTCAGAGACATGGCCAAGGTAAGAAAGGCTGAAAGACGACCACCACTGAACAAGACACACAAGTTGAAACGTCAAGACTGGGCCAAGAAATATCTCAAGACTGATTTTTCTAAGGTTTTATGGCCTGATGAAATGAGAGTGAGTCTTGATGGGCCAGATGGATGGGCCCGTGGCTGGATTGGTAAAGGGCAGAGAGCCCCAGTCCGACTCAGAAGCCAGCAAGGTGGAGGTGGAGTACTGGTTTGGGCTGGTATCATCAAAGATGAGCTTGTGGGGCCTTTTCGGGTTGAGGATGGAGTCAAGCTCAACTCCCAGTCCTACTGCCAGTTCCTGGAAGACACCTTCTTCAAACAGTGGTACAGGAAGAAGTCTGCATCTTTCAAGAAAAACATGATTTTCATGCAGGACAATGCTCCATCACACGCGTCCAAGTACTCCACAGCGTGGCTGGCAAGAAAGGGTATAAAAGAAGAAAATCTAATGACATGGCCTCCTTGTTCACCTGATCTGAACCCCATTGAGAACCTGTGGCCCATCATCAATGTGAGATTTACAAGGAGGGAAAACAGTACACCTCTCTGAACAGTGTCTGGGAGGCTGTGGTTGCTGCTGCACGCAATGTTGATGGTGAACAGATCAAAACACTGACAGAATCCATGGATGGCAGGCTTTTGAGTGTCCTTGCAAAGAAAGGTGGCTATATTGGTCACTGATTTGTTTTTGTTTTGTTTTTGAATGTCAGAAATGTATATTTGTGAATGTTGAGATGTTATATTGGTTTCACTGGTAATAATAAATAATTGAAATGGGTATATATTTGTTTTTTGTTAAGTTGCCTAATAATTATGCACAGTAATAGTCACCTGCACACACAGATATCCCCCTAACATAGCTATAACTAAAAACAAACTAAAAACTACTTCCAAAAATATTCAGCTTTGATATTAATGAGTTTTTTGGGTTCATTGAGAACATGGTTGTTGTTCAATAATAAAATTAATCCTCAAAAATACAACTTGCCTAATAATTCTGCACTCCCTGTAGTCTTGTTTAAATTGTATTGTTATCTTGTTTGGTTCCTGTTCTAGTCTTACCTTGTTTCTAGTACCGGATACATATCTGCATAATATCAAGATCCTGGGATCCGCAGAAGCTGCATCAGGGCCCTGGTATGTGGCCGCACAAACCCTGATGCTCAACACCAGGGGACATGTGGTTACCCTGCTCCAGACCTGATCGTTCATTTCAATGACTCCTACCATCATCAGGCATACAGGGGTTCCGGTCTTTGGACCGCCACCCGTGACAAAAAAAGCAACAAGGCTTCCTCGTTATCAGCCTCTAAATTATGACATAAACTTTCCCAGTCCAGAATTGAACATTTATTAAATGAGGATGGAGTAAAAGTGACCCATCCTGTGAAAACTAGTAATTCGTTTGCGTATTATTATAAAAAATTATTTATTTTGGCTTCAGATCCTAATACAGCAGTGTCCACATCTGAGAAAATAAGTTATTTTCTGGATAAGGTCCCTTTGAAATAAATTAACAGATAAATTGGATATACTAAATTCTCATTAACATGATTCCTGCAGTTCCTGATGGCTTTACAATGGCATATTATAAGTCTTTCTCAGGCATTTTAACCCCATATTTGACTCATTTATTTAGAAACTACTGGAATACAGGAGAAATACTGTGGGAGGCTTTGTGTTCCCAAATTGTGACCTTACCCAAACCTGGAAAAACTCCTAATGTTTGTTCAAATTTTTTACCCATATCTAGAGTTGAGCGGACACCTGGATGTTCGGGTACGGCGGGTTCGGCCGAACTTTGAAAAAAAGGCCAGGTTCAGGATCGAACTGGACCCCGAACCCGAACCCCATTGAAGTCAATGGGGACCCGAACGTTTGGCCACAAAAATGCATCTAAAAACTCCTGGAAAGGGCTAGAGAGCTGCAAGAGGCAGTTAAATGGGGGTAAGAGTAGGACAAGTGCCCTGCAAACAAATGTGGATAGGGAAATTACTTAAAATAACATAAAAATTAAAAATACAGCTGAGCCATAAAATAGCACTAGATGGAATCTTTGATTTTAGCTTTGGAAGAACAAATATCAAAATCTAAAGCATGGCTGTCAGGAGGATCACCAGAATTATCCATTTGAGAGAGGGTTGGAGTGCAGGGTATTTTCTTTCATTGTTCAAACTGAGTTCAACTCCTGATGCATGGAGAATTTTTTTTTTAATTGGGGTAGCCCACAAAATATTGGTACATACAAAAAAAGAAACATTTACGGCCCGCAGTGCATTTCTTGCAGTCCTGATAAATGGAGAAATTCTCAACTCCTGGTGCATGGAGAAAAGGCCTTCACAAGCTTCTGCTATCGTGTACATAGTTTATACTAAGTGACCCATAGGTTGAGGAGGCGGTGACCGTGGCAGTGTAGGTGGAAGCGGCGGTGGAGGAGGAGAATGAGGTAGCCAACACTGTGTTTTATATATATATATATATATATATTTAAATTGGGGTAGCCCCCAAAATATTGGGACATATAAAAAAGATAACTCTGTTGACATTATAGTTGCGCAGGCACTTTGTTGATTCCAGAGAGCCTCGGGCCAATCGCACATCCCCGTGACGGCGACTTTGCATTTGGATGTCATCCATATCAACTTTCGATGCCATTTTCTGCACCTACCAAGGTGACCACAGGTAACGAGGAATCAGGGTTCCATCCTGTAAAGGGACCCTGAGAAACGGCTACCACATGCAAGGAAGGCAGCATGCGCGCAAGTGATCCACTCTTGACTCGGGAAGGTAGTGACGACAAATAACAATACAGGACTCTTTAGAGGCCCTGTAAGTGTAATGAGTCCACCTAAAATCTTTTAACTCTGATCAATTGGAGGGAAGTGTGGTGCAGAGCCACTGACCCGTGAGTGATGCAGCTGAAACTCCACTATCGCCTGCTGCTGCTCACACAGTCTCATGAGGCGGTGAGCGGGAAGGCCGAAGTTACGTTGCAGCGCAGACAGGTGAGCAGCAGCATGGTGAGAATGCCAAAAGTGCGCACAGCGCTACAGTGAATGTCACATCCTGTTCCAAGTTGCGGATCAGTCTCGTGATGGCTTCTGGTATCCAGTACTCTTTTTACTGAAGCTGCATCAGGGTCCTGGTATGTGGCCGCACAAACACTGGCGCTCAACACCAGGGGGCATGCAGTTACCCTGCACCAGACTCTGCTAATCCATTTCACACTGTGACTCCTAACTTCAACATCAGGCATACTGGGTTCCGGTCGTCCGATCGCCACCCAGACAGTGTCACGGTTCTGGTAACCGGCTGCCCACCTCACTGTGAAACTACGAATGGATCGTTAAATCTGGTACAGTTCGAGTTTGCTCGACTCTATTATGGATCCTTTGATCCCTACATGTATTACTTGGATAACTGGTAATTCTCAAGCTAATACATGCCGACGAGCGCTGGGGGACGGCCGCTCCGCTTTTGCACCCTGCTCCCTCTTATGCTGTGCTGGTGTCTCTGTGCGACCTGCGCCTCTTCCTCCAAACTGCACACGTCACTCACATGACCTTGATTCCATGTGGGGTCTAGGACCTCATCATCCTCCACATCATCTTCCACCAACTCCTCAACCATGCCCTCCTTGCCGGTATGCACATTGCAGAAAGCCACAGCAGTTGGCACCTGTGTTTTTCCAGCATGTAAAGTCTTGGAAATTGTTTTAGAATTGTATCCAGGCAACGGTTTTCCCTATAAACTGACCTCTCAGCTTGACTTGTGAGGGTATTGCCCCAGAATTACAATATTGTTGAAGTACCTCGTAGCTATTGATCACTGGTTTAAATATATCAGCTTGTTATCTGGTAGTTTCTAGTGTAGAAAATATCAATCTGTTTTCTATCACTTAGATCTGTGTAACAAGTGTTGTAGGTGTGAAACAATATTACAAGTGACCAATGTAGTAAATTCGAATCAAAGTTCCATTTGCAAAAAAAATTTCTCGCCCATCTTCTTTGGGTTATTGCATTTTTAAGATGTAGATTTATTGTAACACACTAGCCATGCACAGGTAGATTGTATGGCACGTTGTTTTGGTCTTTGGTTTTTAACTTTGTAGTTGTGTCTTTACACAATATAGAAATGTATATTAATGCTTCTGTATATGAAGCGATCACAATAATACTTATTTTTCACTTTTTTTAAAAAAAATCAGGCTACACAAAAATTGGTCATTCACAATATGACATCTGAAAAGCACTTGAAAAGATGCTGTATGATTTTAAAAAAAGAACACACTACATGAAGGTCCTGTTCACTAGAGTGTTTAGTCATGAATGTAACCAGTAAAACTTTGTTTTTACAGTCACTGGTTGGCCCATACATATTTTAAAACTTGTTTAATTTTGTTGTAGCATGACTTGTAGATATGAAGAGCAGGCCCCAAAATGTACTATTTAGCAGATTAGCACCCCAAAAATTAAAATTTTTACAAGTGCGCTGTAAGCACATTATTAGACGCTTCTATTTGACTCTTACATATGAAGTGCACCCCACTAAAATACTATTTAGCAGGTTAGAACCCAAAAAATTTTAAGTTTTAAAACTGCAATGTGACAGCAGTATTTGACTCTCACATATGAAGTGCACCGCAGGCCGCAAATGTACTATTTAGCAGATTAGCACTCAGAAAATAAGAATGTTTACCACTGCGCTGTAAGCACACTATTAGACGCTTCTATTTGACTCTCAGATATGAAGTGCACACTCCAAATATACTATTTAGCACCAAAATTGACTTTTTAAAACTCCAATGTAAGCAGCAGATTAGCAGCAAATCAATTAGAATGTTTACAAGTGCGCAGTAAGCGCACTATTTGACGCTTCTATTTGACACTCACATATGAAGTGCACCGCAGGCCGCAAATATACTATTTAGCAGATTAGCACCCAGAAAATAAGAATGTTTACCACTGCGCTGTAAGCACACTATTAGACGCTTCGATTTGACTCTCATATATGAAAAGCAGGCCCCAAAATGTACTATTTAGCAGATTAGCACCCAGAAAATTTGAATTTTTACAAGTGCGCTGTAAGCACACTACTAGACGCTTCGATTTGACTCTAAGATATGAAGTGCAGTCCGCAAATGTACTGTTTAGCAGATTAGCACCCAGAAAATAAGAATGTTTACCACTGCGCTGTAAGCACACCATTAGACACTTCTATTTGACTCTCAGATATGAAGTGCACACCCCAAAATGTACTATTTAGCAGATTAACACCCAGAAAATAAGAATGTTTACCACTGCACTGTAAGCACACTATTAGATGCTTCTATTTGACTCTCAGATATGAAGTGCACCCCACTAAAATACTATTTAGCAGTTTAGCACCCAAAAAAATTAAAGTTTTAAAACTGCAATGTGACAGCAGTATTTGACGCTTCTATTTGACTCTCACTAATGTACTTTTTAGCACCCAAAACATTTTAAGTTTTAAAACTGCAATGTGACAGCAGTATTTGACGATTCTATTTGACTCTCAGATATGAAGTGCATCCCACTAATGTACTATGCCACTAATGTACTATTTAGCAGCCTTTGAAAACATGCCATTAAATCGCCGAGCACCGAACTCCAAGCCGAACATACAGTGATATGTCCGTGTTCGGGTCCGGGGTCCAAAAATCTAATGTTCGGTATGAACTCGAACTTTACACTTTGGGTTCGCTCAACTCTACCCATATCCCTAAATAATAATAACACCAAAATGTATTTGAAAATATTGGCATTTAGACTTTTACAAATTATCTTTACTTTCATTCACAAGGACCAGGTAGGATTTGTGTTAAACCATCAGGCCCCGGACAGTACTAGGCGTTTAATTAATTTAATTCGCCAGATAAAATTGGAGCGTATTTCTTCCCTGCTTCTTTCATTAGATGTGGAGAAGGCATTTGATCAAATTCACTGGGTATTCCTAAAGGAGGTTATGTCGCAATTTAAAATTCCAGATCCTTTCAGCAGGGCTGTGTTTGCTCTTTATTGCGCTCCAAATGCAAGGATATCTGCAGCTGGTTTTATCTTTTAAGTTGTCCAATGGAACCAGGCAGGGTTGTCTGTTGTCGCTACTAATGTTTGTGTTGACAATGGAGCCCCTGGATGAAATGATTATACAGTGGGCAGATATAGAGGGCATTGTGGTAGGGGACAGGTTGCATAAAATTGCCCTTTTTGCAGATGACATTATGCTTTCATTGAAAAATCCTATGAATTCAATCAACTCCCTAATGTCCGACTTGTGTGAATTTGGCAAAATATCATTTTACAGATTGAATACTAACAAAACCAAGACACTTTCTTTCTACACTCTGTGGTATGATTTAAATATTTTGAAACAGAAATTTGACTTTAACTGGAGGGCCTATCTGGACATTAACCTGTACAAGAACCTGTCAAAAATGCATATTTGTAACCTGGCTAAGGTCTGGATCAAAATTAAGGACGACCTTTAGAGGTGGTGTAGTCTTGAAGTCTCATAGTTAGATAGGATTAATTCTGTCAAGATGTCTCTTCTTCCAAAACTTTTATATTTTATCAGAGCAATTACCCTTATATTTATTAGTATCTCCAACAAATGCAATACATACACACACAGACTGCTGAACATGTTCACAGACAGACTGCTGAATACACACACACACACACAGTCTGCTGAATACACATACATACAGACTGCTGAATACACACACACACAGTCTGCTGAATACACACACACAGACTGCTGAATACACACACACACACAGACTGCTGAGTACACACACACAGACTGCTGAGTACACACACACACAGACTGCTGAGTACACACACAGAGATTGCTGAATACATACACACACACAGTCCGCTGAATACATACACACACACAGTCCGCTGAATACATACACACACACAGTCCACTGAATACACACACTGTGTGCTGTGTGGGGGGTAGGGGTGCTGTGTGTGTGTGTTGGGGTAGAGGTGCTATGTGTTGGGGTGCTGTGTGTGAGGGGTGCTGTGTGTGTGAGAGAGGGGTGATATGTGTGTGGAGAGGTTGGGGTGCTGGGTGGTGGTAAGGGTGCTGTGCTGGGGGGTAGGGGTGCTGTGTGTGGGTTGTGTGAGTTTAAGGTGCTGTGCTGTGTGGGGGTAGGGGTGCTGTGCTGTGTGTGTTGGGGGTAGGGGTGCTATGTGTGTTGGGGTAGGGGTGAGGCATGTGTTGGGGTGCTGTGTGTGAGGGGTGCTGTGTGTGTGTGGGAGGGTGATGTGTGTGTGGGGAGGTAGGGGTGCTGGGTGGGGGTAGGGTGCTGTGCTGGGGGTAGAGGTGCTGGGCAGGGGGTGGGGTGCTGTGTGTGGGGGAGGGGTGCTCTGTGTGTGGGTAGAGGGGTGCTGTGTGGGTGGGGGTACTGTGTGGGTGTGGGGGTACTGTGGTTGGGGTGGGTGTTGTGTGTGCGTTGGGGCGGGGGTGCTGTGTGGGTGGGGGTGCTGTGTGTGGGGGTGGGGTGCTGTGTGGGGGTGGGGGATTGCTGTGTGTGGGGGTGTTCTGTGGGTGGGGTTACTGTGTGGGTGTAGGGTGCTGTGTGTTGGGTGGGGTGTTGTGTGTGCGTTGGGGGACGGGGTGCTGTGTGGGTGGGAGGTTACTGTGTGTGGGGTGGGGGTGCTGTGTGTGTGTGAGTTGGGGTGCTGTGTGTGGGGTGTTCTGTGTGTGGTGGGGTGCTGTGTGGGGAGGGGTACTGTGTGTTGGGGTGGGGTGCTGTGTGTGTGTT